TGAACTCCTGACCTCATGTGATCCTCCCGCCTCGGCCTCGCAAAGTGCTGAGATTACAGGTGTGAGCCACCGTGTCCAGCACATAAAGCTCTCAGAACATAGCCTGAGTGTTCGTTGATACTGTTGATTTCTCCAGTGCCAGGAGAGGAAACAGGTTAGGGCTTATTGGTTCCTGCCACAACACACCTCTTCCCTGAAGGAGGGAGTGGCGCCCGTCCCCATCAGACACGACGCCCTTAGATCCCACCTGCCATCCGCGAGCCTCTTCCCCTGGGCCAAGACGGAGAGCCCTTCCTTCCCTGCCCTGCCTTTCTAACAGCTCATGCCCCAAAGGCAGAATCTGTGGGGTAGGGGCCCCCTTTCTGATGTGCCCGGGGCAGGTCCCCCCGCTTCTCCAGCTCTCTTCTCCTGGGCCCCTGCTTGGCTCTTTCTTGAGCAGGGGCCAGAGGGAGCGATGGAGGAACTTGCTGGGAGGCCAGGTCTGTGGCAGGAGGGCTCAGGAAGGAGGAGTGGGACCTTCCACAGCCACAGCCTCAGAAGAAAACCTCAGAGCGAAAGAATCACGCCCTCCCCCGTCTCCTCCCTGAGCTGGGAACCCCCACACCCTCCCCACCCCTCAGCAAGGAGGAAGCTAAACCTGCTCTTCGGGGCGGCCTCACAAAGGGGCCAGCCCGAAGGAGAAGAACATTCATCCCCTCCATGCTCGCTTTCCCACTCCTGACCCCATTCCCACCGCTCTGCCCCGGCCTGTTTGCTTTCAGCTGAACGCTTCCTGATAGTCAGAGGGCTGGGTGTGTGTACCTAAAACCGTGTGCACACACAGGGCAGACGAGCCTCCGCACAGAGGCCTCCGTCCTGGCCTCTGGCTTGCTGGTGGGCGTCGTCTTCTGGGGCCCTCCTGCTTCCTGGTGGGCTCTGATTACAGGGAAAGCCTGGGAGCCTGGGCCGAGGCAGGGGGTGAAGGAAAAAAGACGAAGCCAAATGCATTGAAATTCTGGATCTCCTTGACGCTGGGAACTGAGCTTGGGAACTGCGTCTTGCTATGCCGGGGCCACAGGGTGAGGCCACTCCCCACAGCCCCTCCCACTGCTGGCCACGACTGGCCCTCCTGGGGTGGACTGTCCTGGCCATGCGCTGGGGCTCATAGCCACGCTGTATCGCAGCCTCTTTATCTATAAAACAGGTGAATGACGCCTTCCTCCCTGGGCTCCAGTGACGAGTAACTAGGGTGGCGTGGCAGCAAGCATGCCAGGCCTTCTGGGGCAGGAGGCGGAGGAAGTGGGTACGTTTCTTTCCCCTATTTCGAAAGGCCAGTCGCTGTGGGACAGCAGACAAACGGCTGTGTGAAGTCCCACTGGCAAGTGAGAACCGGTCCAGGCCCGTCTTCCTGAGAAGCAGCTGGGCTGGGAGCCAGGGTGGAGGTCACTCGGGGTCCTCTCCGAGAACTCTCATGGTGAAATGGAGAGCCGGGGCCTGCCCTTGCCTCTGCAGCAGGACTGGGGAGGAGGGGGTGCCTGAGTGGTGTGCTAGCACTTTGGCAGAACGGCTGTGCCGTGCCAAAGCTCAGTGTGGGTCACCGTGGCTTTCAGTCCACCCTCCTGCCCCGAGCCCATGTGTGGGACTTCACCAGAGAAAAATAACGGCCTCAAGGGTCCTGGCCAGCAAAGGACACACACCCAGCCCTGTCCCCTCCCACCAAGTGAAATCAGAAGTAAGAGCCAAGGTCCCCATCGTGTCATGAGAACCATCTGATGCCCCAAACACAGGCCCCGTCCTTGTGACTGGCTGTGGGTGAGCGTCCATTTCTTCCCCTTTTGCAGACAGGGTGGGAAGTTTAGAAGGAAGCAGAACCACTGTGTCTTGTCTTTGCGTGGGTGGCGACGAGTGTGTCCTCGGCGGCTTCTGAGAAATCCTGTCTCCTTGGCCTTCCTGCTTCCCTGTTCCCTCCTCAATGGGGACTGCACCAAGGCAGGGACAAGAATTCATGGATTTGGGGACTTTGTGGTGACGTGGGCTCCTCTGTGGGGTCCTGCGTCGAGGTGAAAAGGATAAACTCTTAGGACTATGTCAATCCTGAAACTCCATGTCCCTCATGGAGGGTGGGAAGTCCCCAAAGCTTTCAGCTCACCCACCTGGACTTGGGGGGACACTCTTCCCTTGCTCCTGCCCCCCCAGTGCCTTCTGTTCCCCTGTCTGGGATGCCTCCCTACCCCCCTACTCCTCCACCTGCTGAGCTCTCCAAGGCCCTGGTATGACTTCCTCCTCCATGCAGCCCTCCAGGCTGCTCCAGCACAACTTTGGAACCACATGGTTGGTGTGCACAGTCGGTCACATTGTCCATAGTCATTTTATCTGTATTGGTCCGTTTCACCCAACTGGATTATAAAGGTCTCAGCTGGGGGCGGTGGCTCACGCCCGTCATCCCA